TTCTCCAAACGAGATTTTTAGATTCAAGAAGTCCAATTTTTGAGTCATGTGGTTAACCAAGAAGGGATTATGGTTTCCCCAACTAAGATTGAAGCTATAATAAAGTGGGAACAACCAAAGAGTTCTACAGAGATTCAAAGCTTTCTAGGATTAGCCGGATATTACCGAAGATTTATCCAAGGCTTTTCTTCGATAGCTGCTCCATTGACAGCTTTGACGCACAAAGGAGCTACATATACTTGGAATGAGAAGCAGGAGGAATCATTCTAGAAGCTATTGAATAAATTGTGTGAAGCACCGATTCTTTCTTTACCCGAAGGAGTTGAAGACTTTGCAGTTTATAGCGATGTATCTTGAGTTGGGTTAGGTTGTGTTCTGAACCAAAGGGATAAGGTGATTAGGGAAAGCATGTTAGCAGCTCAGGATTGTCAAAAGAGCTATGTTGACAACAAAAGACAACCGATAACATCCGAAGTTGGAGATTCGGTTTTACTTAAAGTCTCGTCGTGGAAGGGACTTATAAGATTTGGTAAAAGAGGAAAGTTGACTCAAAAATTTATTGGACCTTTTAAAGTTTTTCAGAAGATTAGGAACCAAGCTTAAAAGCTAGAACTACCAGAAGAACTAGATGATATTCATAACACTTTCCACATGTGTTATTTGAGGAAGTTCATGGGAGAAGTTCCCGATACAATGCCAATTTCTGAATTAAGGTTAGATGAAAGCAAGAGGTTAATTGAAGAACCTGAGGCAATTGTTGGTCGTAAGACTAAGAAGTTGCGACGCAAGATGGTCGATTTAGTGATTGTGCGATGGAAACATACGAATGGACCAAATCTCACATGGGAAACGGAGAGTAACATGATAAGTCGTTATCCGCATTTTTTTGCTGATGTATGATTCCGGGGACAGAATCATCCTAAAGGGGGGGGGGGGTAATTGTAACGCCCGTGTTTCTAGGCTAGGCATTAATGATTATATAATAGTCTAGGTCAACCTTCGTAAGTTGTTTTGAAATAATAAAGATGTATTATTTGAGTATTATGTGCTTATACTTAATTATTATGATTTAATAAATTAAAGATAAAAATAAACGCCGAAAATAAATGTTACATAAACCCGATATCTATGAAGGAAGTTGTAGTGGTTGAAACAAAGACTCCGGAGATATAAAGAATACCGAAATCCGAGTTATAACGAAGAAGTTATGATCTGTCGAAGTTTCACAATAGAACTGGCATGACGATGTATGACGTAAAAAGTGAATTTACGATAAAATTCTTTTTAGCCTTAGCGATTTGAATGAAAGTCGTAATATACATTAAACCAAGAGTATGCTTAAAAACAATGTCCAAATCTGACTTCGTATGAGAAAGTTATGAATTTTCTAAGATTTGGTATAGTAGCATGCACCTCGAAACTCAAATTTTAGATTGAGTGATTTTTAGCCGACACAACCTAAACGAGAATCAAAGATATTGTTGATTGTAGTTTAACGGTAAAAACACACACGAAAACGGACGTCGGATGAAGAAGTTATGAATTTTTAACGGACTTTTCCTGTACCGGCCTGTTAAAATATAACTTTAAAAATAAAGTCAGAATTAACCGACATAGTCTAAATGAAAGTTGTAGAGCATATTTTCACCTACGCGTGGATATAAAGAGCGTTAAAAATGGAGCCCGTATGCAAAACATATGAATTGTTGAAGTTCAAGCACAAACTTCGAGGCTAGAAGAACGCCCAACGTACCAAGTGGTACGCTTAGCGTATAAATATGTACGCCCAACGTACGAGATATGTACGCCCAGCTTACTTTTGTTCACGGTCCATAATTGGCCACGTAGCCTACTCCATCGCATGGTAGACACGTGTTCGTAGCCTTGACGCGTCCGAGATAAACCTTTAGTACGCCAGCGTAGTAGTTGAAGTAGCAGTATGCCCCTCATACCATAGATTTATGCCCAGCGTTACTTGAGTGTTCAACCACTATAAATAGTGGACGATGCCAGCCGAATTGATGTTACAATTTTCATCCTCTCACCCCTATACTTTTTCTATATTGCAAAAATTACCCCTAAACCTAAAATACTATCTTAGCATCGTAAGCAAGTCCCGAAGCACCCGAAGATCCCGAGAAAAAGAGTTTTCGAGTCGAAACTTTGCCCACATGAAGCCCGATTTTTTAGAAAATGTCACGGTTTTATCAGAAACGATTGTTTTAAGGGACGACGTTCTGCCCAATTATCGTCAAATCAAGTGAGTGTGTGGTCACTTTCATCTTACACATAGATATGAAGTATTTTCTATAAATTACATGCTATGTATATAGATATTGTTTGTTTATTTGAGATGGATGTTGAATGATGTTTTTATACATGTTTAGAATGATTTAAACTGTATATGTATTTTTTATCTACAAATATGTTAGGTATAACATGGGTAGATAAAATAATTGATGTGTGTTAAAATGATAAGAGGCCCCGTCGTTGTTGTTGTTGTTCCAGTCATCTAACAGAGTATAGATGACGACCACAGACCATTCTAGACAGTCTAGTGGAATGCTAGAAAGCTTGCAACATGTAGGTATTTTTGAACTTAGTGTTCACCAGGTGTACTCCATCCCCCCCCCCCCCCCTCAAGTAGTGTTGTCACCCCGATGATGATCCTTAAACTAGGTTCCTTGTGATAGGTGTTTAGGGACGTAAGGTAAGGATAACGGGAATGGGTATCAGGGATATTGTTGGTTGATGAAATTAATAAATTTATTGTTGGCTGATGAAATTAATAAATTTATTCATTGTGAGTTGAAAACCCTATATGCTCACCAGGCTCCCAAGCTTGACCCGTTCAGCTTTTTATATTACAGGTAATGGACCCAGAGCATAGTTGGATGATGAAGAGGGATTTTTGGATTATAGGTCATTAGTTGTAAAATCTGTTGTAAGGTCTACATATTTATGTTTTTGGTCTGTATCGATGTGGAGATCCCGAGTTTTGTAATGAATTGAAAAATACATTTATTTAAGAAATGTTTTGATAAATTTCTATCATATTTTGTTTTGGGGCAAATTTCACATATTTTTAGCAGAGAGATTACTCTAATTTTATTTTTGGGCTATTTTACATAAAAAAAAAAAAAAAAACTTTTTTTTTGTGTCATTCCATTCAACAAAATTGTTTTTCTTAGCGCAAACCAACACTTTTGTGTCATTCTGTTGAATAATATTGTGATTTTATGACTGTCATCACTTCCATTGAAACCATGCATGTGTTGTCTTGCTAATATTGTTAAAGACTTGAAGTACTATGATTAACTTTCAAATTGCTTAATCATTTTATTTGTTAACTATAATTGTGTTGAAGTATAATAAAATGCTAAGTATTATTTATGTTTTCTTGTTGATTGTGTTAAAGTATGATTAACTATGATATTGATAGCTAGTCTGTGCAATATGATCAACTAATTATGATATTTGAAATATGATTAACTAAATATAATATGTAAAGTATAATTTTATGGTTAACTAGTTAACTGGATTGGGTTGAACTATCAAGTATGATTTAATGATTAATACTCTAATATATATAAATTCTACATAATATAAAAAAAACGATACTACCATTATATTGCCGCGAGAACTACGATTTCAAATAGCGGCCGGTGACCGCTACTTTATTTTTCACCGCGATAAATGTTTAGTTCATAAGGGGTGTGTGTGTGTGTTGTGTGTGTGTGTATATATATATATATATATATATATATATATATATATATATATATATATATATATATATATATATGCAAGCATATCTGCTAAACTGCATATAAGATATCTTAACCGGCCGTTATTATATTTTTCACCGCGATAAGTGCTTAGTTCATGTGGTGCATATATATGGAAACATATATGTGGAAGCATATCTACTAAACTACATATAAAATATCTTATCAGGTGAAGGTGAGATATTAATGCGATTTAAGATAGAGTGAGGTTAAAGTAAGGTTTTCCATCATTATTACTAACTTTTCCTTTATATCCATGGGAGTGGGAGTAAGTTGGCAAGATGACATTCCAACGGAACTTCCATAACATAGTTCTTTTGACATAAAAACAATCCACTAATACGGCTGGAAATCGTGACACCGAGAAAAATAGTTGAGAGGTCCAGGATCCGTCATTGCACACAGTGGTGGATTTAGGGGGTTCCGGGGTGGCACCGGCAACCCCTAAATTTTCCGGACACAGTAGAAAATTTTTCGAAATTTTTAAAATTTTTTATTTTTTCTACTATCGTGCAACCCTAATCTTCCTGTGCAACCCCTAGTATGAAATCCTGTGTCCGCTCCTGATTGCACATTAATGTGTAGTTGTAGCCATGATTTTGGTACTAATGTGATCTATGCTTTGTAGTTGTAGCCATAATTTTGGTACTAATGTGATCTATGCTTAGAATGCACGTATATTTAGGGGATATTGTGTTACATATTGGTAGCCGACTTCTCTAATAAAATAACAAGGATTATATTAACGTTGAGCATATTTTGAAGAAAAAAAAAACTTTTTAGGTCTAAAACGGGACCAAAAAAATATAAGGGTTTTTTTTTGTGAATAAATCTAATTTCACTATTGTTGACCTGCTCCAAAAAATGAAATAAGAAGGAATATTTAAAATTTTGGTTTATTTTGAAGAAAAAACTAGCTCCAAAACGAAAAAAATACAAAATACAAGGTTCTTTTTTATGGAATAGACCTTTTTTTTCCATAGAATTATATGAAAATAGTAAATGCCATTATAATACCATTAAAAAAAAAAGATTTGTGGATACAAAATGGAATATATAAGGACGTCAATCGTAATGTTGATGATTTACTGTTTAGTTTAGTGAATACGTTACAGTCAGTTAAATCCGCATTAAATAAATTTAAAGGTAATTTATGGCTTATTCACACCCATCATCAACTTCATAAAACTTTCATACATAGGATTATAAGAAATGGCAGACACAATTTCTCTCTTCTCAGTAGCCATTTTGGCCATCTCCATAGCCATGGTTTTACCTTTAAGTAATGGCACCCGGAGGCTCACCAGCAGCGACAATCCTGTAAATCCCTTTTGCAGAACTGCTGAAAACAATTCACTGTGCACTTCAATCGTCAATGGAGCCAGGACATGGACGTCAGCAACTATCAATGCCATCTCCATAACCCTAAAAATAGCAACAAAAGGGAGGCCCATATTTGATGATCTCGTGGAAAAGCTTCGGGATACTGACTTATCAAGAATCACTAAAGAGTCGGTAGGACATACTTGTAATGAAGTTTATGATTTCGCCATTGAGTGCCTACAAGGATCCTTGGTTGACCTTAAGTATGGGTACATAGACCGTTTGGCAACAAAGCTCTTATCAGTAACTGGCCCATCTTTGGAGTGCATCAATTTGGTTGGGTACTTGAGTATGGATTCGGAATTGTCTAACTATTTTTCCGAGTTAGAGTTGTATTCTAAAACTTGTTTGTCGATAACAAGGACCATTTAATTCCAAGAAACTTCTCTTACTATGGTTGTTGCTTGTTGGTGACATGAATAATTTTGATCATTGCCTAAAAATTTGTCTATTTAAAGAAATTACTTGTTACGATTACCCAAAAACCAAATACAAAATTTTTGAACTTCATATGGATTTTTAAGTCGGTCTATGCAAACAAATTTTAAAGTTAGAGTTTCAACTAGAATTGTGATAGGATACACGAAGTCTAGAAATTAAAAACTCGTTAAAAGCATCACATGCCATTTCTTTCGATTCGCCCTTAACTAAGTATGTGTTGTCCACAAGATTTAAATTAGTAGGTAACTAGTAATAGAAATTTTTCGCCAAGCACAAACTATGTGTTTTATGTATATGACACAAAATAAACAAATGACAGAGATGAATGACGATCCACCCCTCTTGTCAAGATCGTTCCCTTATATGATCATCCAATATAGAATATTAAGTTTGATTATGAGAACTTGTTCCAACAACTCTCATAAATTTTTCTAAAGCATGAGTTTTTCTTATGATTTGAAATGTTTATATAATTAGACATTTATCTTTAATGTTGTTAGTAACTATCATTTATGAAAGGTAATTATGCTAAAAATTCTAAAGGTAATTTAATTGAATGATCCCTTAATTTGGGGTAATTTACATTCTTAGCCCATAGCTCTCATTTTTAACTCTACCATAACTATAATTTTATTTTATTGGACGTTAAGTCCCTATCATACATAAGTAGGTCCCACCCCAACCTTATATCCCTGCTCACAATAGAAGACGACCTGGAGCTTGAAGGGTCACCATAAAAACTCCATAGATTATGTGATGCAATATGTAAAAAATATACAAACACTATCAAATCCTCTATAAATTACGTTTAGGTTTTGTTCTCTTGGTGAGACGATGACGGTAAGATGTGTAGAGAGACGCATACTACAAAGGTGGTGGTGGATAATTAGCAGTTAGCAGCAGGAAAGAAGGGGAGAAAAGGATGTATATAATGAAGTAGATTTTAGAAGAAGCATGAGATAGTGGTGTTGGCTCCCCTCTTGAAATTGAATCATCAAATCGATCCCTCACTATAATCGAATCGACATCGTTGGGAGGTGGCAGAACTACAAATAAAATGCCAATTAGTGACACAGAAAAAACATCACAAAAATCGAAAAAGTGTCATTAAAGGCCCACTGGTCAATCAACAACAAAAAAAAAAATAGTGTCACTAAAAGCGCTGTCACTAAATGCCTTTAGTTGCACATTTCAATTGTGTCGCTGAATCCCTATTATCTTTTAGTGACATTTTTTTATTATGTTACTGAAGCACTTGTAGTTTTAGTGGCACTATTTAACTGCTAAAATAAATATTATTTTCATGCTTGGTGACACTTTTTTTAACACAAAAATCTAAATTAATAAATTGGGTCTGATTTTTTTAATTTTAAACAAAACATAAAATAATAACAAGACAATTAAGATAATAAATGGAAAACATAATATCATTACTTTAATTCAAACTTAATTAACAACAATATTATCAATATTTTAAATGCAAATTTCTTCAAGAAAGTTAAATAAGTCTAAATATTATGCTAATACTCAAAACATCATACTATCGAACTAAATATTTGTTGCGGAAGAAAAATGAAACTTGGTTAACCTCAAACTAAATATGAGCATGTAAAGTTCAAGAGTTCCCAGTGGGTGTCAGTTTTTACTTGACAAGGATTTTCAAATGTTTTGGTTTTCCGTCTTTACATCTAAAAGCTTTAGTAATTCTCCATCTCATTAGACTATCATTTCTTGTTCCCTTTCTTTTTCCCTTCCTCTGAAACCTAGAATTGAAAAGGAAAACAAAATTGTTAACTACAATAATTTATTAATTCATATATGTTGGACCGGAAGCATGCATACCTAGAAAGATACAAGTGTGAGTGAATTCATATATGTGCTCCTTTATCTATCATATCATGTTCCACTTTATGTATCATTAGAACTATTTTTTAAAAATCTTAGGGAAAAAGAAAAACACGCATCACCATACCATGTAAAAGCACTTCATGTGTATGCATGTAATCATTTAGTATTGTAGCCTTGTAGGTCATATCTTTTTAAGAACCAAAGTTTACTCAATAAAACTAGCATCTATTTGGAACTTTAGATTTATAACTATTTAGAGAAGAAGGTCAAAACCTGATATTCATGAGAGGTTGTGGGTATGTCTATTTTTCACAGCTATTTATTACTTTACCCTATTTGTACCTCTACTGCACTGTACTGCTCCTGAATGGAAAAAAAAAAACATCACTCAAACTAAAAACTAAAAATCATATGTATACAAGACAAAATGAACGTATTCCCATTTTGTATTAGATTTATCAAACCATTATTTTTCATCCATTTTGACTTCTCAATATTTATATTGTTAATAAGATAAAGGGGTAAAATTTTGATCATTTAGAGACATGAATCGATTAGCTATTGAGTACCATTTTATTTGTTTCAATTGATTCATCTTCGCATTCTTCTTGATTAAAATATAAACTTTAACTTGAACTTTTTATCTTAGACATTTCATCAAACAAGTTCTGTGCATCAGAAAATTCATCTATATTTTAAAGCCCTTCATAAATTTCTTCACTCAAATTTATTTCAAAACATAAAAATAGGATGAAATATTTGAACTTTTCTCAGAAATCGATAAACAATACAATTATTAATTCACCCTTTGGATACTGTTAATCCAGTACTTTAGGAGCACATAAAGAACATAACCTCTTGAATATTTTTTAAGTGGAGAGAGAGAGAGAGAGAGATTAATGGTTGAATTGAAGAACCTAATACTTCAAACAAGAATTAATACCCATGGTGTTGAATACCTTTTAAATATTGTTGATCTGTAACGACCCAAAAATCAAGGGTAAAAATTTTATTTTTGTTATAGTTAGAACACAGATATCTTCAAAATCCAAACATCCCAAAAACATGGTTAATTAAAAACATTTATCAGAGTTCGTCCCAAAATCATACATTGCGGAAACACGGGTGTGTGCATTGCTATCAAGCCGGGCCCTTCCTTTTAAAACTAGTGATACCTGAAACCATAAAAAAAACTGTAAGCACGAAGCTTAGTGAGTTCTCCATAACATACCCAACACAATCCACATAATCACATAAATCATATCAACCATACAAGCCATGCATACAACATATACGGAATGACATAGGGTCCCCCACATGGTCTGATATCCAACTGCCATGAGCTCCTTTAAGATCTGTCATGTAAGTATCACAAACACAACAAGCATATCACATATCTTATAAACAACTACCGTACCACATGTCACATAATCAACTAGCATACACAAGTCAAGCATATAAACATATAAGGATGTCGTGGGCTCCCCCAAGGTCTTAGAACTATGTGTCATGGGCACCCCCATGGTCTTTACCTGAAAAGCCATGGGCTCCCCCACATGATCTGACATCTAGGTGTCATGGGCTCCCCACATGGTCTTACATCCAAGTACCACGGGCTCCCCCATGGTCTTTACCTGAAAAGCCATGGGCTCCCCCACATGGTCATATATTCAAGTTCAATGGGCTCCCCCGTGGTCTTTCATGCAAATATCACATAAAAAACTAGCACAGCATATAACATATAACCAAATAGTATACCACATATCACTACATCAACTAGTGTACCACATATCACAAAATGGGCCGGCCTAGGTGCCTTCGACCAATTGGTATGGTGAGGAGACTCACCTCACACTGCTGAAGTCCCTTAGATAAAACTCTAGCTAGTGGATGACAGATTCCCGAACCATCAACATCAAAACAACACCCAATTAATAATTGGGTTTCAATATATAACATAAATCCATGCTTGGGGTAAAAAGGCTATTTTACCCCCAACCTAGCTTGACTCAAAACCAAGGCCCAAAATCACACTCTAAAGGCCTAACAACCAAATAATCAATCAAGGCCCAACATATGGCCCAATTTTCCAAATATGGACCAAACCTCTACATGGTCTTACCTGAAGGCCTAACCATTTCTCCTAGTCCAAACACTTGGCAATCTAATGGCTCAATATCTCATAATCATCAAGGACCAATTATGGCTTATCTATGGCCCAATTTTCTAAATTGGACCCAAGACTTTCCAATGGGCCTTATCCTAAAGTCCAATCCAAATATTCTAGTCCATATACATGTTCTTGGATGGACCATCAATAGCCCAATCACCCAAGCCAAACCGGAAGGCCCAACCAAAATTAGGGTTTCTCCCATGAAATGATGATTAGGGTTAAGTGTTCTTACTTAAACCATTAAGGACTTAATCCATTAATTCTAATACTACCTTAAGTTAATTGCAAAGGATTATTAATTACTATTTTAAGTTTAATAAACAATTTCGGTCCCGATCCATTCCAAAACTCATATTTCTACAATTAGGATTTTCTAAACCCTAATTAGGGTTTCCAACCCAATCGCGCGCCAATTAGCCAAATTGTTTGGATTTTAAGTCAATTAGGGCTTCATTGGGTCAATTAGGGCTAAACAAGTTAGGCACCACCCACTATCACCTCGGGTAGTGGTGGTCAACAGCGGCTTACGGCAGCAGCCACTACCTCGTGATAATGATTATGATTCTATTCCAATCATGTCCAAGCATCCCAAAAGCAATCTAAACACACGCAAATGCACACCGCCACCCAACACGGCGAATGGTGGCGGCATAAGGCGGCAGCCACTACCTTATGGTGGTGGTAATGAATTTCCTTGATTAATCCGGTTACCAATTACAATTATATAACACCATCCAAATGAACACACACACACATAAAATAACACACACACCTACACTCAGCCACCCATGTGGCGGCAGGCGATGGTTGGAGGATGACAGCCATGATCTCATGGTGGTGGTGATGTATTCTCTTGATTTTTTGGCCAAAATAAACCCACACAATGAACAACATCACCAGAATATATATA